CGATTTGATGATGTTGGGGGGCTGTGTAGTACTGGCGAGTCCGGGAATGCTACAAAGCGGCATCAGCAGAGAGCTTCTTGAACGATGGGCGCCCAGCGATAGGAATGGGGTCGTGATCACTGGATACAGCGTAGAAGGAACAATGGCAAAACAGATGTCGCATGAGCCGGATAGCATACCAGCCATCATGACCAATCGAAGCGCAGCACCTGTGGGGAGAAGAGGTCCGGGCGCCAATGGTGAGGCCGAAAAGCCAATGATACCAAGGAGATGTAGCGTGCAAGAGTTCAGCTTTGCAGCTCATGTGGATGGTCAAGAGAATCAGAGTTTTATCGAGGAGGTTGCAGCTCCTGTTGTGGTATGCATGATCTACCCGATATCGATAAACTGTATTGACGACCCTTGCAGATACTGGTTCATGGAGAGAAACACAACATGATGCGTCTCAAGTCCAAGCTTCTTTCGCTCAACAACGACAAAGCAACCAAAACCAAAATCTTCAGCCCTGCCAACACCGAAGAACTTCGCATTCCATTCAAAGTTGACAAGACTGCCAGAGTGGTTGGACAACTTGCTCAGCTTCCTCCGCCCAAATCCTCGGACCCCGAGGAGGAAAGGCTCATTACCGGTGTCCTTGTACAGAACGATTTCAAGATGTCCCTGATGGCGCCTGAAGATCTCAGGGAGTATGCCGGATTGAACACGACCACGATCATGTGCAAGCAGAAGATCACGCTAAGCGCAGCTGGGATCGACTTGATCAAGTGGGCTTTGGAAGGAACTTTCGGTGCCATAGAGGAGATCAAGCCGCAGAAGAAGCCGTCGTCAAATGGGGCTACTCAGGTCAACGGCAACGGTGTGTCCCATGAAGAAGAAATAGCAGACGAAGAGATTGAATACTCTCCGCATGCGGTTGCGTACCTGGTCATGGGCTGTGTGATTGTTCGGTACCAGAACAATGGGCAGGTAGAGGTCGAATGGGAGGGCAACATGCTCAATGATGGGATTGCCGATGCAGTGCTGGCTGTACTATTCACAGCGGAAAGCAGTCCGGCTGCGGTCAAGCGTAGGTCTTGGCCTGACAGCGTTTCTGCAAGATTGCTGATGTCTCTCAGAATCTTCGAAAAGTCATCAACACCACCACCATCAGGGTGAACGCAACCTTCACTCGAACGTCACACCGGAAGAGCGATTCTCACGTCTCTGCATGTTCCTTGAAGCCCAATTTGGTCCCTTAGTCACTCCTCTAGCCAAACCGAAAACCCTCCCTAAGCCGCCGAAGCCTGCGCTTGACGGCGACGGCATCAAGAACGAGCCCGAGGAAGAAGCAGATGAAGATGATGTGGAGGACCAGGAAGCAGAAGAAATCGAGAGGTTGCATAGCATTGGGATTCCCGTGCCTGGCGTTCAAATCAAAGTGGACAAGCAAGTGGTGAAGGTCTGGTTGGAGACGCTGGAGGTGGAGTGTGCGAGTAATGTGCTCCGGGAGAGGGTGAAGGCGGTGGTCGAGAGGGCGGTAGAAACGGTAGCTCCACTTTGGGGAAAGGGCAAGAATTGAGATGCGGTAGTCGAGATGATGATGACTGACATCTTTCGTACGATATCCCGGCGCTCTAGTAGCATTTGGCAGGAGCAATGGTGTACCCACTGTGGTCCCATGTATTCTTGTTGACTTATCGAGTGCAAATTTCTTCCCCTGCTTTATTCTTCTATTATCCATTGATGTATCACTGGGAACCGAGAGCACGTCGTATGCCAGAGGCTGTGCTGTGTGAGAAATTCACGTGATTCGCCATTGGTTGTAGTCGCGTCATTGAGATTAGGTAGCTTCACTCTATCACTCTATCCGCCATTAAGGTACTTTAGGTACTTATTGTTGCCAGGCGTCAAAAGGATAGATTTAATTCCCGCTCTGCTATATAATCCAAGCGCTCTGGTTGATAGTAGAGACTTTCCCAAGACTCTTTCATCTAAATGAAGAAAGAAAAAAGAAAAAGTCGAGGTTGCGCTTCTCGGCGAGTTACAGAATCCGTGGTCTTCCTAACAACCACCGTCGTCATTTCTTCCTCCCGAGTTTTGCTCTAGCTCTCGAATAGGCTTAGTGCACTTTCTCATCTCCAAATCCTCTCACCACCTCTCAAGCACTGTCCCCAAATCTTCAACGTCCACGACACAGCAATCCGCTGCCTTTACCAGGCTCTCAGCTGTGATCCAGGTTGATATTCGTCTTGCCCAACATCTAGTCCTACTTTACACCCTCGCATTTACCCATTGCTGCCTCCCAAGAGGCTCGGGAATCCAACGCCTGACCAAGACTCCGCCTTTCCCCCCAACGCGCGACCGAAACACCCACTAAAAGTGCTCATTTTCCACGGCCACCTCATTCCCAAGAGCAGAGAACACATCACCCGGATTCTCTCAACACTCAAGTCGGTCATGGAGAATCCATAGCCTTCGATTCAAAGCCTCTCTAGCCCAGGTGTCAGCACCATTTCTTGCCGCCCGACACCGAACAGCACTATCGGGCCACTCGACCAGATCTTCTCACCTACGATGAGCGATGTCTTTGCCTTCTACAATGACTGCAACTCTCCCTCCTCATAGCCCTCACTTCGGTCATCATTCAGCTTACAGCACCAACTCGGCTTCTTACGCAGCTAACAACTCATTGCCGAACGGATCCTCGTCGCGATTAGCTCCTTCTTACAGCTTTCCCAACAATACACCCGGATCCGTTCCACGGCCCTCCAATACCTCGGCTTCAAGACAACCCCCTCAGTCCAGCAATATGACAACTTCACAGTCTACATCAGCGTTGCAGGGATCGAGGAAAAGAGAGAGGCGTCCAGATTGGCATGAATTTTACAAGAACGGACCACCTAAAGAGATCATTGTCATTGATGACGACTCACCACAACCTCCATCACGGAAAGAGAATGAGCGAGTTCCCCAGCAGCAACAGCCACAAGCAACAGTGAGAGGTGCAGAGCATGCCAACAAGAAGAGGCGGACCGGTCCCACAACCGCCTACGATGCTGCAAGGGATCAGCAAGCATTTTCCCATGCCCGTACATATTCGAATGGGAACAGTGGGTCCAACACGATCTCAACGGACCGAACCACATCGCTACAGACTACAGCACCTACATCATTGGGGTCACATTCGAGTCATGGGACCAGTGGAGCGTATGCCGAGGACAGTGTAGTCGGGGAGAAGAGGAAACGCGTAACGCGGCAACAGATTGCTGATGAGAAAAAGAGGAAGGAGATTGAGGTAGTAGGAGACGCATATAGTGCCTATGTGCCGCCACCGAAGCCTCCCATCAAGGCTCGAGATGTCCATGTGCCATCGATCAAAGATGTAAGGCATTTACCATACAGGCCAGAATCAGGACGCTGACTTTTGGAGAAGACTGTGACTACTCACGAGAAGATCGATGATGATGATGGCCATTACATAGTGACAGAGGATATGCCCATAGGTGACAGATGTGAGTGCCTCTCGAAGAGCGGACTGTCATTAGACGGACTGAGTGCTGACTGTTTGCAGATCAAGTGAACAGACTTCTGGGCCAGGGCACCTTCGGCAAAGTTGTAGAAGCTTTTGACAGACGGACAAGGTCGAAGTGCGCAATCAAGATCATTCGATCCGTGCAGAAATACCGGGATGCCTCGCGTATTGAGCTACGGGTGCTACAGACTTTGTCCCACAATGACCGACAGAATCGGAATAAATGCATACATCTACGGGACTGTTTCGACTTCCGTAACCACATCTGCATAGTCACCGATCTTCTGGGCCAGAGCGTCTTCGACTTTCTTAAGGGCAACCTCTTTGTGCCTTTTCCAAGCAGTCAGATTCAGAGTTTTGCTCGACAGCTCTTCACCAGCGTTGCTTGTATGTCCTCTATCCTACCTTGATTGGGTTTCAACTGATATTGTGCTCCAGTCTTGCATGACCTTAATCTAATACACACCGATCTAAAGCCGGAAAACATTCTCCTCGTCGGCAACTCATATCAAACCTTCACCTATAACCGCAACATCCCTTCTTCGTCTACTACAGTACAGCGCGTTGCACGCCAGCGGCGAGTCCTACTTGACACCGAGATCAGACTCATTGACTTTGGATCTGCAACGTTTGATGACGAATACCACTCCACCGTCGTTTCAACAAGGCACTATCGAGCACCGGAGATCATACTTAACCTAGGGTGGAGCTATCCGTGCGATATTTGGAGTATTGGCTGCATCCTCGTCGAATTCTTCACCGGTGATGCTCTCTTCCAAACGCATGATAATCTTGAGCATCTTGCAATGATGGAGAGCGTATGCGGCGGCAGGATTGAGCCTAAGCTGGTTCGGCAAGTCCAGGGCACTGGTCGAAACAATAATCGCAACCAAGCTGCAGCGTGAGTAATGTGTCTACTCTATTCACGAAATATGCTGATCAATCCCAGGTTTTTCACCCGAGGTTTGAAACTTGACTACCCAAACTCGGAGACTCCGAAGGCTTCGAAAAAGTATGTCAGGGCTATGAAGACACTTCCCGTATGTAATTCTTCGCGCCTTGCCGAGGGTAGCAGCTAAATAAGCTATAGGAGGTCATCCCCGCAAACACAGCGTTCAACAAGCAATTCCTCGACCTGCTTCGCCGTATCTTCGTGTATGACCCAAAGCAGCGTCTCACTGCGAAGCAGGCTCTCAAGCACCCCTGGTTTAAGGAGACCATTACGGATGATGGCACAGAGGCTGCGCGGATTAGGTTACAGCGGGAAAGGGCGAGGGAAGAGATTGATCTTGAGTACTATCAGAGCGGCGAGGACTGATCCTTGACGGATTGCCTCACGAAGCGTCTTCTATTCAAAAAGGGCAAGCTGCATTTTCTGCATAATGGAAAGCCTGCATGAGGTGGCGCAGGATAGTAACGACATGCATGAACATGGCGTAGGCAGCAAGGTACTTGGGTCTTGCTTGCGCAACTGAGGGATCAAAATGTGCATTATTCGTTTCGAGACGAAGAAGTGACGGACTTTGTTCACATGTTGTACATTCCAATCGAGAGTATAAGACTTGGTAAAACGCCAAGCTCGGAAGGATAGAGGGTGTTTGTAGAGGATTCCAACCACTGTGCCCTCCATTGCCATAACTCCTCATATCTACCACTTCAAAGTCAACAATATCAACCCCCGCCTAGTCTTGCCGTGATTGGTGCACCTAGCCAATCATGAGTCATGTGGGAGACTGAACCTTCACTTTCTATGACACTTTGGCAAGACAAAGGCCTCCATCATTTCATTTCTCGAGCACCTTCACGCCCAGCAACACATACCGCAAATGATACAACCCTGCCTCATTCGCGTACTAAATCGCTCCACTCCATTATGTCGTAGATTTCACCTTCACCTCCACCCTTGGTTTTCTCCCCACATACGCTTCATGCAGCGTGAGAATGAAGACGGTGGCAGTGGACTTGGCCTAGTGTTTTTGTTGATAGATCCACTACCAACACTACCACACGATCGTCTTGTCTCTTACCCGGCTGGTGTCGAGTTTCACTGGATATCGCGCCTTACGTGGTAAGTAGACCGAGAGCTCTTACAGGTTTACGGCAGCTTGTTTCGAACACAAGCACAAGCACAAGCACACCTATCCGGCACATCTTCTTCTTTCGGTTCATGAGCCGTCCATATCTCCAATCCTGTCCGCAAACTTACCTCGCTGTTGGTATCTCGCTAGGTTCGAAGAATCGTGGCGCCGGTGAGTTGCCTTCTGAATGTATGAGATGATGCGCTAGCTTATTGAGAAACAGGGTAGGTAGGCAAGTAGGTTCGCCGAATACGGCCTGAGTCCACTAAAGTTGGTTTCGGAGATTAAACAGCTTCGCAGGGCCGAGCACCGACTTCCACTGAATATCTGCCTGCTTCTGAGAAATCAGCAGAAAAGACCGAGAGCTTAAGAAACACAAGTCGAGCATCGCCTGCCGAATATAGTCCACCGTATTTGGATGTTCAAGCTCTGAGGAGGATGATTCCATAATCTCACACGCTGATGTGGTAGGTTTAAGAAATAGTCATTCTCCAACTGACCTTGCTAATGACTCTAGGACGGGCACGAATTCGATTATCGCAAAGTCATCCCGGCTCTTGTGCCCGAAGGTTGGTCCAATGACCCCAACGACCTTGAGCCAGTCAACCGCCCTCTGTCTACCGATGACAATAGTCTACCACCGTTTGTGCTACCGATACTAGCTTCTAGAGAGGATAGGCAGGCTGTTCGCTACTTGTTATCGATCTTCGGAAGGTTCTATCTCTGGACTCCAGCCTCGAGTGAGCTTTTGTGTGTGACCCAGTCTCACAATTCGCGGGGAATCTTGCAATGTATTGACAAGCATTCGTTCGGGCTCCGAACCAGAGTCCTCGAACCATCATCTCGCTGGTACTCTCAGCATCAGATCACACATCTTCCACTCTGGTTTCGGCAAATTACAAAAGGCAGGTCGCAGGATATGAAGAAGCTCAAAGACATCAAGGAGCTGGTTGATGGCCATGAGTATGTTCTACCAGTTCCTATTCTGACCCTTGTCAACGATGGGCGATATGGCGGTACAAAGTATCTCATGAGGTGTGGTGACCGATACTAAATCTTCCTCGAAGTCTCCGCCATTTTGCTTCGAGTTGAAGAATTCACTGAGCTGAGCCAAATCCCACGTACGTTAGGCGGTTGACAATGGAAAGGTCTCAGATTCGCGGAATGCGATCTGCTTCCGGGATATGGAGACCCAAACATGTTCCTGACGAAGAAGTTCCTCCCGGTTGGTTTATTCATGTCAACCGGGGCGTCTGCGAGAAGGAGCTTTTTTGTCGCCCTGAAACCTCTGTACCATCGCTGCTACTTTTTCGTGAAGGTGGCCACGGTCGCCCAGCCCTTTCCTTGGTCGAGGGTTCCACTTCTTGTTGGTTCTATCTTTGGCATGCTGTCTCCAAGATCGAACGACCGAACGTACTGCAGCATACTTTGGACACATTGAAGGAGCGCGTCGAACAACTCACACTGGTCAGAAGTTGAGCCGAAACGTTGCCCAAAGCGTCTAGGTTTATTCTTTCAAACTTTCGTACGACGAGATTTCTGCGAGCTGGTACCACGACCTCAAAGGCCTTAGAGATCTTCGTCAAAATGTACCCGCCCAGCAGTACGGCTTGAGACTTCCTCTGCCGATCCTAACATCCGGAGGATCTTCCCTTGGCCTTGCTTACCAACCAACTCTTCCAGAGTGGGATGCACTAATATAACTACGACCAAGCGTCTTTTGACATACTCCACATCAATGAGCCAAGGATGCTGTAGGACATCCTTCGAGTTCTGAACTTCACTCTATGAAGGCCCTACAGGGGCTTAGTCTGGAGAACTTGGAGCTCCTCCCAGAATACGGAGGCCCGAATAGAGTCCCTGATAACGATGTACCCCAAGGGTGGACCAACCGAGTCAACCCCAAAGTTGTCGACTACAAATGGTGCCGTGGGTACGGAATCAGCATTTGCCCAAACACACTCCTCTACTCAGAAAGCTACCTCGACGGAACACCCGCATGTCTTTTCAAGTCCCAACCCAGCTTACGCTCCAATTATTATCTTTGGAGGCCTTCCTTCGACGCAATCTATCGTATCGATGGGACAGAAGGCTTGCCTGACATTCTCGCGGTCTTAACACATGCGTCACTAGAGCTGAAGCTTACGCTTCTTGAATGGTTACCGGGGAGAGAGTAATACAGAATCGCGGATGATGAGATGCCTCGCGGCTGGATGCGGGCGTCAAATCCCGATGCTTGCAATGCAATGCCGCGGAAAACGCACAGGCTAGCGCCTCCAACACCTATGCTTTAATCTATTTGTTCCACCGATGGAAAATCGAAGTCCGTCTTCCAGTCTGGCGGAGATTTTTATCCTCGGAGATAAGAAATCTAATGATATTCATCGCGTGAGCGCAGCGATGGGCATGGATAGCATCCTTCGAGTCTTAAAGGATCCGTCCCAAGTACTTAGACTCGGGAGAACCGATGGCCCTCGAAAATCATTGCAGTGACTCATGCAGAGAAGCATGGAACCGGGGAACCTACGGGTTCTCTGTGACAGGAGCCCCAAGCCATACATCATACAAGAGATCAATGGCGTTTCACAACTCGAGGGTGGATCTAGTATCATTTACGCAGCCGAGTCTCACAAGACGAGAGAGGAATAAATCTTGGTTGAGCGTTTCTCGTCTTACCTTCCTTTTGCTACGAATTATGTCAAACGTCACGTTGACTTCGCTCATTATCCTAGCTGGTAACATGGATTGGGCTATTGATTTCTTCACGACCTATGGACCCGAGGACTGCTACTGCTACCGAGCGATAAAACAGTAGTCACGGGAAAGCATGCCAAAAGGCGATAGACTTGGAAGCATGGCTTTTTGATAGTTGGAAAGTACTACACTGAAAGAAAGCTGCACGGCGTGACTACATCAAGTTTTCGAATATCCCGTTCAAATGTCTTCTGGCTTGAATGCTTTATCTAAGCTGCGAAGAAGCGAGCCATGCGGGCTTCTTCCCCTTGAATGGAAATGCTCCCACTCAAAGTCCAAACGGGAAGTTCTCGAGTAACATTGTCTACATATTCCGTTTCTCAATGTTTCCACTCCAACATTCCCCTTAACCTTTGAGATACTCACAGCAGATGCAGGTTCACTAAGCACCACGACCCTAATATTTGATCGAGGCTGGAATATTCAACACATCTTCTAACGCCCTTGTTCCTGTGCTGCGAAGGCTTCCGCGTTCTTCCCGCAGCTTCGAGTTGTTACTGTTACCGGTTCGCATTGGTTGTAGATAGGGCTGCTGCTCGCGTCTTAGCGCGCCGGAAAAGGATTCGAAGCCACATAGGCGCTTTAAAAGCCTGGCGTTCAGAAGGAAGGGAAGTTCACTTACGAAGGAAAGAAAGGCCACATCGCTAAAGAATAGGTAATGAATGAACATCAACAATTTCGGGGGCACACACCCAGCACTGCACCTTCCACTCTAAAGTATTTGCACCCTCGGCCTTCCATCTTCGACACAGCTATGATCCCACTTTGTCTTACCGTGATTGGTGCCACTGTGCCATCATGAATCGTTGGGAACAGAGTCATCGCCCTCTCACTTCACCCAAAAGAACAAATTCTATTCAAAATGACACATTCCACCTAATTCCCGGGCTAAGATGCCGATGTCGCTGTTGGATCTACCTTCTATCTTCCACGCTGGAACTATAAAAATCTTCTTGGTGACACATTGCACTGTACTACACGAAAAGCCAGTCTTGTCTCTCACGGGTGGACACGGCCGCCGCTATTCAGCTTCTTTGGGTTCCAAGCCTACTTGGTATTGCACTTCTACCGATTTTTCAGGTACCACAAAACTCAAGCCGCCAGGAACCCTTGCCGCCAAAAGCTATTCGACGCGCACTCAACTTCCTGTCCCAATCCTTTTGAGCGACGGGAGCAGCAGAAGTTCAGATTTTCTGATGAAAAGTGGGAAGGATTTTCATATGTTCTACGAGATTGCTCATGGAGTCCTCCCCATTCACGGGCCATCAAAACTTCGTGATATCCTTTTTGTCCTCGGCACTTGCGAGGATCTGAAGGTCACACCTCTCATTCTTCTCCCTGAATATCGTGGTCCAAACGATGTCGCTAACAACAATGTTCCGAGCGGTTGGTCTAATAAGATAGACAAAGAGATCTCCTGTACAGATCGGAGAATACTGGAATCGACACTCTTCCGGTATATGGAGGTGAGAAGAGGAATACTGAGGAAAGAGTGCCCGTGGGACGGAGATGTCAGTTTGGTCTTAGTTCCTACGCGTGCATGGCATTGCTTGGCTTGACATGAAAAGGGAAGCCAAACAAAAGAGGATAATTTCTCCACTGCTGTCAGCGATCTAGGCTTTCCTTGGAGTAAACCTCGAGCTTGGCGGAGCACCTGCCCCTTCGAAGCCAACAGAGGATGGTTTGCAAAGACATATCCTAGTAAGATGTGAAGGATAGGGACCGTCGTTGAGATAGAACGCGCACTTTTTCCGAGAAGATGATTTCAATCAGTACACACCCTAGGCACTGAACCAATTAAAGAACCCGCTCGCCATTTCCAACAAGCTCAAGAGCATGCGAATCCTTTTCCCAAACCGGTCCTTCGCGTCTACGCCGTTGGTTTCTTCCGCCGACAACTCGCCAGAATACCAGCTACCCTTATCATGGAGCTCTCCGACTCCTTCACTCTGGCCACTCTTGCCCTTGCCAGCCTTGCACAGGCTACCCCAACCGAAAGAATCACAGCTACAACTCCTCGTCATGTTTGCGGAGCTGCCACTCTTCACCGAGGTACGCGTCTTCACCGAGCTAGCCATCTTCACAGGCGGCGTCTTCACTGCTATTGAAGACGGTCGATCCTGACCTGAGACAATAGTGGGGGCGACGGCTGGAGAGAAAGAGGTGGAGGGAAACGCCAGTGGACTCCTAATGAGACGGACGTGGGGTATCTTGTCAAGGGCTTGATGTGATCACGCGAGTGGGAAGAGTGATGACGCGGAAGCTAAGGCGGAGCTTGAGGTTGCGGAACGGGAAGGACAGAGCCTTTGAGACGGCTCAGAGACGGGGCCTGGGAACGCCGAGAAGGAAAATGGTCAGGGCACTGGAGCAGCAGAAGTTTTTCAAATGTTATGAATGACTGACTGGACTGGCTGGGCTCCAGTGGTTATTCAATCACAAAAATGGCGTATGAATGGAAATCTCACCCAACATTGTATGTAAATCTGCTCAACCTGCGTCTATGTACATAGCATCGAGGGCGAAAAGTACGTCTATATTCCTCGATTGAATTCCACCTTCCCATCTTTGCCACCTTTTTCCCAGAACTGCTCTTCCAGAGACTTCGCCGAAACTGCCTGTCTTTGGGGAAAAGCGGCCAAAGCGAGAGGGAGGGCAAAGATGGAAGTTGTGAAGATCAGGCCTGTTTCTGTATTAGTCATAGGTTTCTGATCGGTAGACAGTGCCGCATACCTAGATTCACAGGCAGCGTCATCTTCGGTCTCCGCTTCAGCCATTCTGTCTGCTGTAACCGTACCAAGATCAAAGGCGGCAGCACCATGATGGGCGTGGAGTTGAGCACTCTGCTCAGAGCTGTCTCTCCAACCGCCAGTGTAGCAGCTTTCTTGCTTTTGCCAAGACTTCGCACTTGTGAGCCATCCTTCTCTTTCTGCGCTTTCTCTTCCTCGCTCAAGGTAGGGAAAACATCGATTCCTTGGCGGATTTCCTCCCCTCGCATCAGGAACACATTAAGGGCGCCAGCTGAAGCGACAGCCGCAAAGGGCACTAGTCGGGTCAGACTGGTCTTCGCCGCAGGTGATAGGCGTTTGAGGCGGGGCACGATTGCGTTGAGGCCAAGAGCTACGGAGCAAGAAGCGGAGACGGCGAAAAAGTACGACTTTGCTATTGTAGATGTCGAGAGGGGAGTGGACTTATTGGCATTGGCGCTGTTGATGCCAACGTTGAGAGATTGGTTGGTTATTTGCCAAAGGAGAGTGCCTGTTGTCTGTGATCGGTCAGCGAGGTTCTGGGGATGGACTGAGG